ACAGTAACTTTCAAATTAATGTACCGTAAATCCGTAATTTGTTAAATTTTTCGGTAATATTAGTTCGTAAATTTGGATTTTTAAAATCTAAATTGTAATATCTTACTCTTGATTTTCAAAATTAAAATCTATATTTTTAATCTTTTCCATGCAATGTTTTAATTTTAGCGGGGACCCATGACGGCAGGGGCCCACAACAAGTTTTCGTCGGCTCGTCCCTAGCCAGCACGTCCCTTGGCTTAGTATAAGTTTTATTATTTTAAAGAATCTCAGTTTGTATGTTACGCAATACGCGCTCAAAACTAATGAATATACTTCCCCATATACGGTCTTGGTATTATTCATTCAGTTTTAGTTTTTGATACGTTTCTCAAGCGGCAAACTAGCCCGCGTGCAGGCCCAAGGGAACTGATCAAGTTCCCTTGAGCCTGCTCCCTTGGGCCTGCACGCGGGCTAGCGGCAAACAAACTTTAATAGAAAGCAGGTTTAATAGTGCTGCTTTATCTGTAAAATTATGCTAAAATGAAAAGATTTTAGACGGTACGCCAACGGAGAAAATGATATCTGAAGTTCAGTAAATTTTGCTCATGTTGCTGTAATGTATATAAATATGGCGTCAGTTTTACAGTGATCAATGACAATGACAATGATATGGATCAATGACAACTATGATAATTGTCAACATTTAACTCAGGGCCGTAGCGAGGGGGGTATTGGGGGGGGGTGGTTAACCCCCCCCCCAACTTTTGATATATTCGGAAAATGGGGTGGCCATTCGGAAAATTACGGCAATAATAGTATATGGTTTTTGTACGAAAATCATGAGATTCAGGCAATTTTTAGCTAATATCTGACTTTTGGTATGTCCGGAAAAATTTTTTGACCCTTAAAATGGTCTCCAAGAATTTTGGAATATTCGGAAATTTTTAGCCTACACCCCCCCCCAACTATAAATGCTAGCTACGGCACTGATTTAAGGGACGGACCATTTGATTTTTCATGGGGGGGGGGGCGCATTTTTGAGAGTGCTCGATTTTTTTTTGGACCTCACCGACTCCGCACGATTTTTTTTTATCGAATCTTGCCGCGTGCACGATATTTTTTTAAATTTTTACTATAGCGTTAATACAATAATAACCACGTATGGTTATATTCCAGCTGAATTAAGAGTGTATTTGAATATACAGCATATAACCACAAAATAGGAAAGTATAGCAGAAGTGTAACCCACGAAAATTTTAACTCGCTCACGCCATCCTGGCTAGTACAGCCGGAAGTTTTTATCAGGTTTTGATAGGTACAAAGTGCCGGTTGTACTAGCCAAGATGGCGTGATTGATGATCGGACGAATCGCTTGTAAAAACGCGCGGACAAATACTTGCTTGAGTGAGACGTCTGGTATACCTTCCTATTCTATGATATAACTATCACAGCCCATTTTATACTTGGCCAATTTTATACTTGGCCCATTTTATATATTGGATCAAGTGTTTTAAAGTGTGTAACCCATTTTGCATTGGCGTAATGGCATCTATACTGTATACAAATTCTCACGGTTCCCAATCGTATCAGTGTTCCCAATACGTATTATAAACTGCGATTTTTGTTAAGAATCAGGGAGCGATATTAATGAGCCGGGTGGGAAAGGGTATTTTTGTGACCCGTGAATGCAGTGGCGTAGCCAGACTATAATTTTTGGGAGGGCATGTATCGAACGCCGAAGGCGTAAGCCTTTTCAGGGGGAAAAATTTTGAAATCTGGAGTCCCTCAATGGCGATTTCCCGTGTTTCTGGGGAGAGATTTTGCATAATTCTGAAGATTATTTACTGCAGGAAAGACCTGATTTTTAATGATTTCTCAATAATGTGGATCCTTAATTTGACTCAACGAAGCTTACTTGGTCGCGTGTGAATAGTTAAATCGAAGTTTTAAAACGTATTTTAACCAATAACCACCATAGGCATTATTTTCTGTAGTTAGATTTAGGAAAGATTAGAACTTTTATAGACAATTTGGTGAACAGATGAGATTGGTAGTCACATGGGTAGTCATCGTCCCCCCCCCCCCTCCCTTGTCTACGCCACTGCGTGAATGGTCAATATTTGATCGTGTGATATGCTTGATTTTACTGTCATGATCTGTGATTTGTTCTACAGCCGTGAGGCGCGATTGTCGATCAAAAAATGCTCCGTGAAATGGGAATTAAGGATGTCTGTTTCGTGAACTGTAATTTTGATTTGCTTATTCCGATCTATTTTATAATAACGGACATAATACGCGATAATAATTTATATGATCGATCTCACTCGATTGCACAAGAGTAGAAACTTCGGAAGCCTTTCGGAGATCGTCGGACGTACTCATCACTCAAACTTGTAAGTAGTTTTTAACTGCCAGGCAGAAAAGAGAACTTAAAGCGTAGTACTGTACCATGCATTAAACATAATCTCAAAGCTATTATTATTATATTATTTTTATTAGAGTCTCGTTATCCGTGAAATGTGAAATTGCTTTTTTATGGCACGTGAATTGTGAAACGGTATTTTTTTGTTGTGCAACGTGAATCATACCCCCCCCTTTTCCCACCCTCATTATTCGATGTCGAATTTACAGAAGTGTGGGACTTTCAGTGTTAAGATTGGGGTTTTTAGGGATACCATTAAGGTAATTTGTGGATAATTGAATTATTGAAGTCAAAGTTGTCAGAACTGGTTTGTATTTGGCATGTATACCAAGGCAGAACCGAAACACTCAACAGAAAAAACTAAGGGAAACTGAATTTTCTTTCAATATATAGAGTATTGCTAATTTAGAATTTTTTTGTGTTCGATATTTTTTTTTGCTGGTGTTAGTGATGTTCGATTTTTTTTTCTTCCATTCGAGACATGCTCGATATTTTTTTTCGGATTTGCGCCCCCCCCCCCATGAAAAATCAAATGGTCCGTCCCTAACTATTATTTTATGTTTCTCAACCGCCAGATACATTTAAAAATGTAGCTAACTATGTAAACTACAAAATAAAGCTAACTAACAAAGTAACTTTGACAGGGAGTGGGTCGTCTCATCGCAAATGCAATAGTGAGCTTAACATTAGCAAGCGACGTTTTTCTATTAAACACGGACGTCACCCGAAAATTCAATTGGTATAACTAATTTTGGCCGAATTTTGCATCATAGACATAGCGCTCGTGTAAGAAAGTAAAAAACTTTTAAAATTTTATGTTTTGTCATATGTGTTGAATATTACCACAAACTGACACAAGTCACAGTTTTTAATCCTGTCCCCCTTCGGCAATCTGAAAGTTGCAACGGTCATCGATCTTCCCATCATTTCCCGCGAGGAATAATAGAAATTGTTTTATTTGGGTACTCTACATGGGCCCCCTACATGTGTTGAAATTTGAAAATTGACAATGAACAAGTTCATGTCAACCAACCTGGGGGGAGGGTGAATAGGTTTTCGGATCGTCGGATTTCGCAGAAAAAATTGTCCGGATTTCGGATCTGGCGAATGTTTTACACGGATTTCGGATCTTATTAATACTGCAGATTGCGGATTTATCTAATATTTTGGTTCGGATCGCGGATTTTGCTTCAAATTTGGGCGGATCGGCGGATTTGTATACCCCTATTCACCCCCCCCCCCCCC